GAGCTGCCTCCTCATTGTCTTCAGCAAGGATCAGTTTCCAGAGGTCTACATCCCTACTGTCTTTGAGAACTATATTGCAAACATTGAAGTGGACGGCAAACAGGTGGAGCTGGCCCTGTGGGACACAGCGGGACAGGAAGACTACGATCAACTGCGGCCTCTCTCCTACCCCGACACTGATGCCATCCTCATGGGCTTCTCCATCCACAGCCCCGACTGCCTGGAAAACATTCCTGAGAAGTGGACCCCAGAGGTGAAGCACTTCTGCCCCAACGTGCCCGTCATCCTAGTGGGGAATAAGAAGGACCTGAGGCAAGATGAGCACAGCAGGAGAGAGCTGGCCAAGATGAAGCAGGAGCCTGTTCGGTCTGAGGAAGGCCCAGACATGGTGAACCGGATCAGTGCCTTTGGCTACCTTGAGTGCTCAGCCAAGACCAAGGATATATATATACACATTCACTCGTGAATCTTAAGAACAGGCAATTGTAACCTATGGCATAGACATCAGAATAGTTCTTAACTAAGAGGACACAGGGTGGGAATTGCCTGGAAAGGAGCGCTGCAGGCCTTTCTCAGATGATGACAATTTTCTTAACTTGAGCTGGGTGGTGATTACATTTATCAAAATTAAACAAGTTGCACTAAAGACCTGTGCACTTTATGTGAGCTGTAGTTTAATAACTTGCTGTTCTCATTGCTTGAACCTGGGAAACGATGGTTGCAGTGAGCAGAGACTGAGCCACTGCACTCCAGCCTGGGTGACAGAACAAGACTACATCTCAAATAATAATAATAATTGACTGTTCTCATTAATATTAGTGGGCAGGGACTGGAGGCGAGCCGGTGTAGTCGTGACAACTACTGTAGATTTTATTGTAAACTCATTAAAAGCTCGTTCTGGTTTTGTGTTTTTAAAAAGTCCCACTGATAGAGCCATTTTCTCCCCCAGAAAAGACTATAACCGTATTATTTCATCAGCGGAAGCTATAGGGAAAGAGTCCTTGAGAGGCGGCATCTTCGCCTATGGGATTGT